CTCATCAGTAATTCAGTTGGAGGCGGTTTTGGTTTCCAGCTGATAGAACTCGCACATTTGAAACTGAAAGAAAGAACAGGTGAATCCCCTTCTAAGATACAAGTCATTTTTGTCTTTCGCTGGGGAAGTCAAGTCAATAACATATTCCGTTTTCAAGCTCTCTGCATACATTGTCTGAAATTAACAGTTTTGCTCGAGCCTCTCCTTAAGTGGTCTCTTCTCGTCAATTTTAAAGTTAGAAAGTAAAAATTGTTAAATTTAGGAGCTTTTGCAAGGAATTACTCGGCCGTATTTATAGAGGATTTTTTTCTTTAGAGATCCAAGAAAGTGAAAGTTATCTCTAAAGGTGACTGAAGCTAATATTAGAACAGATTGAACTCCCCAGTACAGTTTTGGTTTAAGTCTCTTTGTAGGCGAACTAGCACCATGCTTTTGAGACAGAAAAAGAAATCTTTGAGATGAAAAACTGTTAACTCTTGGAGCCTTTGCCGGGAGTTACCTAACAGTATTCTATAGGGGAGGCTTTTTAAAAGTGAAAGTTGCCTTCTAAGGAAAAAAATCAGTAATTTTGGAATAAATCTAACGTAATATCAATATAAATCCCCTTTCAGGAGTATTTATACTGATGGTGCGCCTTAATCAACCTCAACGCTTAGTTAGTTGTCGACCGTCAGTAAGTAAGCTGATCATGGCAATTCCAGAGACAGCTTGGATCCATCTCCTTGATGAAAGAGCCCCACATTTAATCGAGGAAGTCGCACCAACTAAGCTGCTACCCTATTTGAATTTACCAAAATGGGATAAAGAGAACATCGTTTGCGACGAACGAAACCTGGGACCCGCTTACGCGACATCGACTCTTCTCGACAAATTGAAGAGGCGGAATGGACCAGAGGGCTGGAGGACATTTGACGCGCTCGTCAGAGCTCTTAGAAATGTCGGAAATCAACAATCGGCACTGCTGCTTGACCCACACTTTAAAGGTAATAAATATACCATATGGAAATTAAAAGGTTATCATCTTAGAAGTGCAAAGTTGTCTACTTGTCAAATCACCTTTAAATGACGCCGGCTCAAGATATTCCAACTAAATTGCAATTTGAAATCATCCTTCCAGTTCCTTCAGTTCCTTCTGCTTCAGAGGAAATCGAAGATGAAAATTGCTCTCGACTCGGAATTCTAGGTACAGCAGCAGGTATGTAAAAGATTTAATTTGGTTCACCTCTGATAAAATTTATTGGTACAAAACTTCAAGTAATTCGCTCTGTGGTTAACTCGCACAAAGAGAACACACCGTTGTACTAAGCTTCCATAGTAGACATGGTAATCTGTTTTAAAATACTCAGAAGAGGACTTTTTTCTCCATTTTTTAACAATACAGAAATTGGCGTCAGAATACGTCTAGTGGACGAAGAAACAAAAAAGTATTGCGAGAAACTGGAGAGCGAAATCTGGAGAAAGTTTCAAGACACTAGATCGGAAAGCACCCTCGAACTGCGTAATAAGTTGCATGAGGTAGGATGTTCATAATTGTAAAACAATATATGAAAAGTTGACAAGGTACATGAAAGTTGTTCAGGAGTTTGATATCTTCGAAGCACTGATCGCAACTGAATCTGTCACATTATTCTTAGTAAATTAGGTGCCCTTAGAAATTTTCCTCGGGTTCGACAAGTTTCTGAAATAATTTTTAAGCAAACCGTGCATAAAATGTTTATTGCTAAGGGGTTACTTTGCACTCGTGAGTTATTTTCAAACAAAGATTGGCGAATTCACTCGGACCACACTGAGTGTAATGCGTGGAGGCCCTATAGTGACCTTTAGCAGAGGAAGACGTCGATAAAAAGGTATTTATATTTTTGGTTCGAATTCCGGGAATAGTTTGATGTTTTTACCGTCTCTCACAGCGCCACGTCTCAACTTCAGCACAACATATGTTAGAAGCGTTTAGTTCTGAGCGCAAATTCAAACAATCTACCGTCCGGGTTTCCGCTCCCAGTCCACGCCCGTGCTGATCTACTGTTCTACTTATTAGAACTTCAGCTTCTTGTGATTTCCTTTGCTAAATCGAAACCGAGATATCGATTGGAGACGTGATTTGAGATCTACCGTTTAAATGCTTTTGGGGAAATGGGTACAGAATCAACTGTTAAACATGTTCGAAACCGTTACACGTTGTTGTAGAGCATAAAAATATCAATCTGTAGCTTTGGTTTCTAACCCGAACGCCCCTAATTTTTTGAGTGAACGTAAACTGATTTGTACGTAAAACGCGGAAAGTGCTAGTGCTTTAACGTGAATCAAAGTGAAAATCGGCACTGGGTACTATGAGGAATTCTTCCTTCCTTTACGAGTCTTCCCTGGCAAGCCCAGGCTTGTTTCCTCACCAAGGGTTCCTTTCATTCAACAAAAATCATCGCCGGTTTTAACTTCTCGGACTATCCGACAAATTGTTCCGGAACTTCTTTCTCGGTTTATTTCCATTTTAGACCACAAATCATGAAAATTTTGGCTTAATGTAAAGCCCCATACGTCATGATATAACCACGAAACTCCATTTTGACGTTATAAAAAATCGCCGAATCGACATCCATTGATTTAAAATCAATATTTATTTTGGTCCATCGTTAAACAAATCATATGGTGTGTTCCTTTTTTTTTTAATTGGGCAAAACTTCACCTTCTTATCTACCTAATAGACTTAAAAGGCTCACCACACTTCACGATTAGTTTACTTCATTAATTTCATTGACGCACAGTTCAGACGCCGTACTTCGGCCGAGCCGAATCAAATTCAACGAATTAAGTTCATGTGAAGTACGGCGTCTGAATCAATTCAGAAGGACTGATTTAATTTAGATGGGTTCAGTCAATTAATCCCGCTTGGCTCTGCAGGGAAAAAGGACTGTGGGCCGGCTTTGATTCACACGCCGTACTTCAACTGAGCCGAACCAAATGCATAAATTATTTTAATGCATTTTTCATGCTGTTTTTACGGTTACATGTTCGCTACTTACATGCCGGATTCGCTACTTACTTCATCCTATCATTTTATCGTTCTACCTC